CTGAAGTACAGCCACCATTAAGGAGAGGTGAGCTTTACTCAAGCCATGTGTATGGAAAACATCACAGCACTGTAAAATACTGGGAGCACTTCGCAAGCTTTCCACGCCTATGCACCTCCTCACTTTAAGAAATCGTAGCTGTCTGCCCACCAGAGAGCTGTGAAGGGAGGTGTGGGAGGCCAGCATGAGAGGGGGAAAAATACAACTCTTCAAGCCTTCCGCAGAGACAGAACTCTGGACAAATGAGGCAACCATGAGAGCTCTTAGTCTGACTAACAGAGACAGTCGGGGTCCCAGCAGCCACATCCAAACACTCAGAAGATCCAGCACAATCTGATTACTCCTGATAACTAAGTGGCTTCAACTCAAGTTATTTAGAAAGAGAACAATGGAGCAATCACAGGTTTCTATGGCCTCCTGATGAAACACCATAAGGCAAGGCAGCCCAGGGAGGATCCGCCCCAGATATATATAGGGCAATCAGACATCTAATTAATCAAAACACTATCCAAAAAGAAGACTGACTTTTGCCATAGTCATTAATCAGTGATCACAGTGCCAGGCAAGGGGGTTGGAGAAATATTTACCTCTTCATGTGGAATGAAAATATAACGACTGCAGCCATGTTTTGGTAGAGGAGCTCTGGGGGGCCTCTTGTGTTCAGTAAGCACCTGAATGAAAGGTTTGTTTTTGAGCCCCAGGACAGCTCACTCAGGTTTTTAAGTCTGCATGTTGTCATTTTATTACTGAGCCTGAACCAATACCCTGAAGGGGTTTTCCTCAAACACTCACCAAAAATGCCAAAAATGGTTTGCAGGTGAAACTGCTATGACTTGCATGTGCACAGGCACAGGACTACTTAAAGGGTATGCACAAAGGACTTGAATTTTTAGTGGGTGTTTGCACCTGCAAAGTGCAGGCACAGGTACAGACGTGTTTAATTCTGGGCAGGGAGTTGAACCAAAACCGAACCGGCTTAAACCAGTACCGATCCTGAACTCTACTTTTGTCCTACTTGCTGAACCTCAACTGGAACTGAACTGGGGAAAAAAAAGTTGGGTTACCACTTCAAATAAAGGTTCAGCATTTTTAAGCGCAATATTTTAGAACACTACGGTGATCTTATTTTCAACAAGACAAAAAAAAATAACAAATAGTTACGTGATGGCTACCAGAGAGGCCTGCCCAGGTATACTGAGGTGAGAATGAGAAGAAAACAAGGCCAGCCACAAGAGTAGGGAGGGAGAGAGGAAGCTTAGGAGCTGCTTGCACACCACATGAGGCAGCAGGATGACCCAGAGATAGATGGACCATCTCTGAGACACCCTCCTGAGGACAGAAGCGGTGGAATGCTTCCTGGTCCCAGAAGTTAACAATAACTTGTCCAGCCCAGCTCCCCAACCCTTCTCCCCCTTAGATTCCCTCCTCCCACCCACCAGCAGCCCCGGGGACAGCTCCTCCCTCCAGTTCCTCCACTTGACCCAGGGGCCCATGCACCAAATTCAGATTTATCCTCTCACAGATCAAACATTAGAAAATGTTATTTTAGTTTTCTCAAACAAACTGTTCATAGAAAAAAATAATTATGTTTATTTGACAACACAGAAGCACTAGGAAAACTCATGTAAAGTTAAAGTTCATAAATAAATGGCCAAAAAGCAAAATAGTTTCAATTTTAAGTTTCAACTCTCCTTGAGTTTACTTCTGCTGAGATTGAAATTTGATCTGAACCGGTTTAAACCGGTAACCGAGCCATTTATAAAAAAAAAAATCAGACCTAAACCTGAACACACTGAACCTGAATCAACCCAAAATAACCATTTTGACTCCCTGATTCTGGGCATACACAAGTGGAGGCAGACCGGAGGCCGGCCTGAACATTTATCCATATATAAGGAGCTTGCTATCTGCTTCCTTTATGTCCAATTTTCAGTCAGTAATGAATATTTATGAGGCAGACACCATAAAAGCCCTTTAACAAACCAGTGGCCTCATTTTTCATGGGAGCTGTAAGGTGCTCGGCACCTCTGAAAGGCAGGCCCCTTGTATTTACAGTTAACATGGTAAAGACTATGTAACCATAGGGATGGGTGCTTAGTAGTGTTATTCATGACATTGTGGTAGCATGCACCATGCAGTCGACACTTGCCGAACAGAGAAAGGCAGTTTGCTATTTTCTCTGAATGGCTATTGTTTCTTGCCTACTTCAGTATTTCTGTTGTCACCACATAAAGGAATTTTCTATGCCATATTTCAATGGGCTCAGGCTGTGCCAACTTGCTGCTTCTCGACGGGTGTTTTCACATCAACATGAACGTGGGCAATCTCCTCTGCTCACAGTAGATTCGCTGCTGCTTGTATTTAAACCAGTGAAGGGATCTGCATATTTTAAACCACCATCCCATCCCACTCTCACTTCTCTCCCTTCTTTAAGAACCTCCAGTGTTTTCTCCTTAAGCTAATGTTAGAAGCCAATGATCATAAGCTGGGAAGTTACTGTATAAATAAGAACTGCACATACTCTTCTCGGACCTCTTATCATTGCTATTTCAAAGAGTCACCTTGTGCAAGCTGGTGTGACTCACCTGTTAAATTTCAGACCTCCTGCCAGGGGAGTGAAGTGGCAGCAGGACTGTTTTCAGTATGACCCAGGATCTCTGTCCTGTTGCTGCAGCCCTCAGATATACTGGTTTAAACAATGTCCTCCCACTGGCTGTAGAGTCTACGCTGGAGGTAGATCTCCTGGCTTACAAGAAAGGCTTATGGTAAAGCTGAAGATCACAGTGGAGTTTGGGCAGGGAATCAGAGATGACTCAGAACTTTTCCAGAATGTGGGGTTGTTTGGATCCAGGGTTTTTGTTTGGGCCCAGATCTAGTGGTGACTGCAATCCAGAATGAATGAGTCTGCACACGGAACACATGCAGCTCAGGGTATTTCCTGCTCCTGTTACTTAACATTTAGAGTTGTATCCTTGTTTTACGGCAGCACTCACTCTTTCTTAGACTAACAATAATCCCACATCCACACTGAGCTACTGGTCACTCTTTGAGGAGCATCTGTAGTAATCCATCTTTGAAGCTAGTCTGACAAATGCAGTGGAATGACCCAAACCCCATGAACTGAAACTCCACTCCCAAGTATATACAACTCCAGTACAGTGCTTAATTTATTTGACTCCAGTCCTCTGGACTATGGGTTATGAAGCCCACTCAAGACACTTGATTAGAAACTTTAGGTGAATGAGTGCAGAGTGCAAACTGTTTGCAGGCAGGAAAGCCTTTCGCCTGTTGGCTCCTTCATGAAGGGTATAATGGCTTAACGCTGTTGCCATGTCCTTTCTGGCTCACAACAAAGGGGCGACAACAATAACTACCTTTTTGCTATAACCACAGTTGCTTTCACAGCATGTTTCGAAAGAAAACCAAAAGAAACCGGACATTTGGGCTGCTGGGCTCAAAATCGCAGCATAGATGTTCCTGCTCAAACTGGAGCCCAGGTTCTGACTCTGTGTGTGTGTGTGTGTGTGTGTGTGTGTGTGTGTGTGTGTGTGTGTGTGTGTGTGTGTGTGTGTGTGTGTGTGTGTGTGTGTGTGTGTGTGTGTGTGTGTGTGTGTGTGTGTGTGTGTGTGTGTG